ATTTACAGGGCCCAGTTAGGAGCCTGCTTGGAGTGGAAAACCAATTGTGTTTAAAAACGGGAGGAATCTGTGCCTAAACCTGGAGATGCCAGTCGATATCTCATTGAGATCCTTTTATTTACAGCTCCCCTTAGAGCAATCTGGTGTTGTCAGTTAGACTGGAAAGAAATTAATCTTTACTGAGAAGTTTATTTAAGAGAAACTCAATTCAATCTCCAGTTCCCTCCTTCCAGATCAGCAGACAGCCCCAAGCCAGAGGAACAGACCATGCTTCCAAGAGCCATCTGCATGCGTCCGATTGCTGTTTGACTGCCTGGGCCTGACATTGCTAATTATATCTGCCCGTTATTTCCTCTGACATCAGAGACAGTTCTGCCGGGTCAGATGATCGGTCTTGGCAACAACAGCCAGAAAAGATGAAAAACAACCCAGAGGGATAGGGGGTTTTCAGGCTTGCCTAAGGCCAAGAAGCTAAACCCAGGCCCGACACAGACCATCCTGCAGCCAGATCACCCATTGGTCTCAAGCACTGGAAGACAATCAACAGCACAAACCCAAGCTATATCATGAGCCACAGTGTCTGGATCAGATAATTTAGAAGTGGTGTGGCCAGCATCATGGTTCAACATAGCGCACACACTCCACAGCAGGTAGGGCCAGGGAGATGAGAGCAACAAACCTCAGGGAGACTTCAGCAAAGCCAAGGCAACTCTCTGACCTCTTAAATACACCAAGAACTTGTCAAAAAGCCCATGGGTGTCAGCACAATCCTTTCCATGGGTGTCCCAGTGCTGTAATGGCCCCTTGAGGATGGAGACCTCATGCTAACATGTTTCAAGTGCATGCTCAGCCTTCTCCTGCCCCAGTGCCTGCACAGAGCAGGGTACCGCCCCAACCTGAGCTGCCTGCTGGGTCACACAGACCTAGATCTGCCACAGGCACCATGTGGCTCCGTCCTGGGTACCCAAGCTGTGCTGGTGCTCAGGCAAACCTCTCCCAGGGCGTGGGATGAACTTAACCCCCAGTGACGAGGAGAGGAAGCCTCCAGTGTGCTACCAGCTCCAAGACACCAGCCCTGCTTACCTCTGAAGGGGTATTACTGGCACATCCCTGTTGCAGGAGGGGCTCTGAGGGCATCCTCTGACCCGTTTCAATTCCAGCAACATTTGTCTCCCTTTTCTGAGTCGCAAAGGAGAGCAGCGAGGAGCTGCTGCTGAGCGAGGGCCTGGCTGGGAGGAAGGAAAGCCTTGTAAAGCCGAATTCTCCTTTCCTACTGTAGGCACTGGCATTACACCAGAGACACATTTGGTCCTGCAGGCTTAACAGCACTCAGGAGGAAGACAATTTTCCTATCTATCATGATATCACCAAGTGTAATGCAGCCTAATGAGACAACACAGATTGATGGCAAAAGACAGGCACCAGCACAGCCTGGCGCTGCTCCAAGGGCTTTATACCATTTTATGGCTCTGGGGCACCTGACCCACTGCAGATAAGTGGTACCAGAAGCTTTATCAGAGCCCAGCAGCCTGACACCTGCATCACCCTCCTCCTCTCACACACCAATTAATATGTTTCCCCACCACCCAAAGCAAACCACTTGCTCTCCCAGACCGCCCCCACACACACACCTCCCCCAACCCCAGCAGAGGTTTCTGGAAGCCAGCAAACAGTTTATAGCCCTAAGCAAACGCTGACCAGCAGAAAACAGTGCAGAGCAATGAAATCAGAGGAAATGACCCACAAACACAGGAGTGATTTCAAATGAACCTGCAATTTAGCTCCATTGTTTGGTCTCCTTTGCTGGTAGACTGTATCTCTGATAGCTTCATTACTTGTCTATTTGCCTTGAGAAGTACAGCTATAACAGCTCTGGAGTTTCTGCTTTACTGTACTCCTCTCTTTCTCCTGCTTGTTCTCCATTAACCCACTGTAGTATCTCCCTGGACTGCCTGTACAATACTTTTGGGAGGAGATCTGAGCCCTGCCAAAGTCATTCCCTCCCCATGAACTAGGGAGGAGTCAGAATGTCATCCTCTGAATCTGTTGAATTTTTCTTTCTTCATTTCATTGCAATAACTAATCCCTGCTCTTTAGCCCTTTCTGGCTGAGGAGTCCAACCTAAGGCACAGCCCAGAGTAAACCCTCCACCACCACGGAGTCTGCAAGTATTTCTCTCTTTTACTAGCTTTGCTAAGTCAGGAGATCTGGAAATGATCTGGGTTTATCTTGGTTATCTGAGATGGCAGCGGAAAGGAGAGATCAGACAGTGCGAGCTCAATCAGTCAGCACTAAAGGAGCTGCATTAGCAATTACTCAGCCTTATCTCCTAAGGACAATTTCACCAAAATTGCCAAAGCTGCCCATGAAAGCACAGTCTGAAACACCCAGATTCTTTTTCAAAGGTCCTAGATTAAATAACAGAATCAGGGGTTGGAAATGTCACTGAAGCCCAGAGCAGAGGAGGACTCTGGAAAGGCTTAGCTGTGGTGGTGGACAGTAAAGTGGGATGGGAGCTAGAGCAGATCTGTTGGTGCAGGGCCATGCACCAAGGGGGTGCACACACCGATTGATTCAATTACTGCCAGTCCCAGGAGGGCTCTGAGCCTTTTTTTTAAGGCCACTGCCAGAGACTAAACCCCGACCCAGAATCTCGCCAGAGCCGGGGCAAAAGCAGCGTCTGATCGTGTTGCTCCATGTCCCATCACTGCTGGGCAGGGGCTGGGAATGCTGCCCACAGGCAGGCACTGGGCAGGGGCTGCAGGAGCGCAGGTGTCAGCTCATCTCCCACTGCTGTGTTCCCATCACCAGCGATCGCTCTGCCACTGCCGGGGCCACTTTGCTCACTGACACAGCTACTGAGCCTCACACAAGTGCTCGCTTCAGCCCCAAGTGTGGCTGAGATGAAAAGACAAACCGATTTGTTCCTGTCGGGATGCATCACTGGGTTTCCTGAGAAGTGTTCTGGCAACGTTTCTTCTCACTCATACAGAATAGCCTTGCCTTCTGTTTCCTGAGCCACTTGCTGCCTAAAGAGAGAGGGTCTCGGTAGAAAAGCAGGGCAGGACCCAGTTGTCCCCATCAGGACCCCCTTGCCCTGCCAGTGGTGGGGAGGACAGCATCTTCCCAGCCACAGCTGCCCCACAGAGATGCTGGTGCAGAGCCCAGTGCCTTCCTCTGCTCTTCACTGCAGCCTTCTCTAAAGGTGGCTGCATTTATTCATTCCTCCCCAGGGTATCTGCAGCACCCCAGCACCCATGCCTGTGCCCCAGCTGGAGGGTGTCAGGGGTGGAGGCTCTGCACGAGGGGTTCTCCATTTCTGCAAGGGATCAGGCAGCATGGCTCCACACCATGCTCTGCTGCATTGGTTTCTGTCTGAATTGCTTCACTCCCTTTCTGGTTTCATCACTTTCAACCTGACACTCGCTTTAATTGGGATAAATATCACAGCCCTTCACGTGACGGAACCTCTTGAGTTGGTGCTCTGGGGCTCTTCACTCCTGCTTGCTCCTGTCTTGCTCTTCCTCTCCAGCAGCATGTTCACAGGCTGCTGAGGTGGTTTGGGGCTGAGGTGCTGAGGCAGAGCCATGCCTTTTGCAAAACCTTCATCAATGCCCCTCAGCCAGCATCCCTGCTGCAGCCATGGCCCCTTTGTCCAACCGCTGAAAGGAGAAATATCAGGGTAAAACCCCATGTGGGAATTGTAGCGTCAGTGCTGGGTGGCTGTAAAGCCCTGCAGTGTCCTCAGGGGCAGGCAGGAGCCCTGTGTTCAGCCACTGCAATGGAGTCAGGAGCTCTCTGGAGGGTAACGTAGTCCTGAGGACTGTGACAATGAGGAAGAACTGCCCCCAGTCTGTGCCGGGGCTCCCAGCTCCTCCTGCCCAGAAGCCAAACCTGAAACAGAGAAAGGGAAATGATACCTCTTATCTGACAGCAATAACACGGATGTGGCTGGAAAATTCCCCCAACCTCTCTACCAAAGTGGCTTTTTGACAAGTGCTTCTGGCTGCTTTTGGATAACCGAGCTGCCCTCAAAATCCTCAGCCAGCAAATGCCTTTGTAGGTGCCTTCCCCGCGCATGTTCCAGCTGGAGCCTCCACCTCTGAGCAGCGTCTCCCAGTCCTCCTCCTTCCTCGAGGGAATGGTGGGAAGGGCTTACTGCACTTTGCCGAGCAGTGGCAGGGATGCCTGCACATCTCCTTGCGTCTCTCCAGTCCGCGTGCAAAAACACTTGCAGGGTAACTTGGTGTCTGCCTCTCCTGCCTGACAGGTTCCCAGGTGGGTTGACACCTTCTTGTTTGTGTGTCAAAGAGCTCGGTCCTCTGCCATATCCCACAGGTCAGTGTGCTGTATGTCAGCAGCTCTTGTGTACCATCAGCCATACACCACCACAGGGAGAGCCGGTGCGTGACACCTTGCTGAGGGGCAGCTCTCCCACCCTGGCACCAGTGCTCCTGGTCACACCAGGGCTGGCTCTGGGCAGCACAGGGCAGATGGAAACTAAACCCCAGCTCTTCCAGCTGCTGCTCCTCATGTGCGCAGCCCAGAGCAGCCCAGCACATGGGTACCAGTGGGAGCAGAGCACGGGCCGCTGGCCAATAGTGATTTGGCCATCCTCAGTGTATTTCTCCTCTTCGACATCAGCTTTTCCCCTTTGAAAAGCTGAACTTAATTTTTCATTAGCCCTGAAACTCTTAAACAGAAAGTGAAGGCTGAGTTTAGCCTCGCGAGGTCTTTGCCTAAGCCGTCCCCCTACTTCCGACCCCCTTCTCGGCTTCCTGGCTGCCAGAGCTGCTGGCAAGGGCAAAGTTACAGCTCAGGCTGAGTGAGTTTGGAAAGAAGCGGTTGGTGTGGGTCTCCCTGGCCCAGAGGAACAGCCCTACATGCTTCCCCAAGCTAGAGAAGTGAGGCGACACCCACGCCCTGGGGGAAGTGAAGCTGGGGCAGGAAGCCAAGGAGCCGCACCGCGGTGGTGAAGGGCTGGAGCCCGGCATGGCCGCTACTGGGGACATGTAGCTCTGGGGACCGACGGCTGAGCCTGCGACCACCCGGTGAGCGGGATGCGGGCAAATCTCCTGGTCTGGACCTGGATTCTCCTCCCAGGTGAGAGCGGGACCTTCTCGTGTTAATGGGAGTGGGTGAGGGCTCACTGAGGCTGTGCCGACCTTCCAAAATCCACATCCTCATCCTGTAGTGACGGAAATGCCTCATGGATATATTTCTTTCCTACTTTCCCCTCTGCCAAGAACTGATTAATTATTTCAATCCCACATAGAGCTTGGCAACCTATTCTAACTCACAGAGCCCTAAAAACACCCTGTGGGAGGCTGCAGGGAGCCTGCAAATCCTGTGTCCCCCCTGTGCCATGAGAGCAACAGGCAGGGCAGGCAGGGCTGGCAGGGTGGGCTTCCTACCTTGTGCTTGCTGTCAGAGATGGCTTTAACAGAAACCGAAACACTTTGGGGCGGGCAGCAGCGTCCCAGAGGGGCAGCTTTTCTCAGAGAGTCCACTGGCAGAAGCAGAAGTGGCTTTCCAGGCACTGGGCGTTCACAGAGAGGCAAAGAGAGACCAAGTGGTTCCCCCCATGCCCTCCCTCCTTCCTCAGCCCCTGGCCCCACATAGCCTCCCCCCACCTCAAACCACCTCCCCTGGCTGTGGGAGAGGTTTTCCAGGGGTAGCACAAAGCAGATCCCGTGGCAGGGGGACGGGCAGCAGGCTGGGCACAGGCAGGAGGCTTGTGCGTGGGCTTGTGCTTGCCTGCAGGCTGGCATGGCCTCTTTCCCTGCAGGATGCTGGGCTCTGAGGGGCCCTGCAGAGGTGAGCGGCTTCCCTGGGGGCTCCGTGGAGGTACCCTGCGAGTACGAGCCGAAGCTGGTGGATGCCAATAAGTACTGGTGCAGGGGCAGCAGCTGGTTTTCCTGCTCCATCCTCGTTCAGACTACGGCCCCCGGAGATAAGGCAAGGGGGGACAGGGTGTCCCTGCAAGACGACCCCACTCGGCACGTGTTCGTGGTGACCATGGCGAACCTGAGCATGGAGGACGGGGATCAGTACTGGTGTGGGATCCAGGTAGCCTGGTACGACCCCATGTTTCCCGTTGTGGTGTCTGTTCTCCCAGGTAAGCACCTGGTGTGGCTGTTCTGCTTTGATGGAGGCTGGTAGGGCAGAGGGAATGGAGAGAGGGGAGGCTTAGGAGGGAGGACGGGGAGAGCCAGGGATGGAAGCCCTCCCCGTCCCAGTTTTCTTCAGTGATGCCCCAGCATCCCCCACCTTGCTCCCGTGGTGCATGCAGCCCCTCTGGGGCCATGCTTGGTGTTTCCCAGCCACCCCCATCACGTCCCCACCACCAGCCTCTGGGGCCCTGAACCCCCCAGTCACCAACCTCAGCTACAGCCCAGGACCAGGTAACATGCACCACAGTGCTTTGCTTCCCATTTGTTTATACCACAGTGCCCAAGACAACACACTATGACTTCCACACGACACAGGGGGAAGAGGCCACATCTGCTCCCACCTTCCCATGGACTGTCCTGGAGGTGGAAAACACCACATCCACGCCAAAAGTCAGAAGCCTGCAGGCTGGGTGAGTGCCAGGGCTACCGAGGAGGAGAGGGACCTTTCCTAGCCCAAGGACCAGGCAGCCCGAGGATGCAGCATCCAGCCTGCCACAGGGCTTTGGGGCCAGCGGGGCATCTCTGGAGGAAGCAAAATGTGATGCTAAGGAGGCTGCTGTACCCCTGCATGCTGTAGGGCTGTACTGGTTGGGGCTCCCAGAGCCTTTGCCCAGGTCCCACAGGGCTGCGGGGCACCCCAACACCCCAGGCAGGTGTGTGCTGCATCTGGGCACTTGTCCATGGAGGTGGGGGATGAATCTGTGCAACTCACTCATGCCAATTTGGCCAGACATGGCATGTACCCATGCACGGATCCCTGGCCAGGAAACTTGGGAGAAATCCTTGGAACATCCTTGCCAGCCCACGGAGTCTCATAGCCCCTGGGGTCATGCCAAATACAAGCACGAAAGCCCTCCCCAGGCCACAGGGCCATGGAGGCAGCAGTGCAGAAGGGCAGTAACAGCCTTTTCTTCCCTCCTAGCACCCCAAACCTGCTTGTCCTGGTCCTGACATCCTGTGCTGCGCTGGTGCTGGTTTTGGGCATCATCATCTGCTGCAGGATGAGAAGAGCATCGCTAGAGAGGAGTGGAGGTACAAGTGATCTGGGGGCCCAAGCTGTGGTTCTCCTCTGTAGGGTGGCTGCGGGGGTCCCCACACTGCTCCCTAGAACCTGTCCCCCCACCCCAGCGCACCACACACTGCCCTCCCACTCCTGTCCCAGGGGTGAGCAGGACTTGGAGTGAAAGGGGCTGGAGCCCTCCCCAGGACCCCAACCTGCTGAGCCCCACAGTCCAGGGTACTCTTGGCAAAGTCAGGCCAGACCTGAGGTTACACAGGAGCTGATGTGACACCCATGGGGAAGGGCTCAGGAACCCCCAAAATGCTCTCCTTCAGCAAAGGGAGCTCCGTATTTGTCTGAGCCATTTCTCTTGCTCTTCCCCCAGCAGCCCAGGCCATGGAGTGGAAGAGGTCCAAGGAGGACCTCCAGGTACCGTGGGTGGGAGGGTGATGGGACAGGGGTCTTGTGATGGCTCCACCATGAAGGAGCCACTGCCTGGAGTCCCCCTTGTCCTCAACACACCTCATGCCCTCCAGGTCACTGCAAGCTGGGAGCGAGCAGACGCTTCCAATAACATCTACATAAACACGGAACTCAGCTCGCCCGAGGATGACTATGAGAACAGCCCGGCCAAGTGGCAGGTAAAAGGGGCTGGGGCAGCTCCACGGGTGCACAGCAAGTTACCCCATGGGTGCTCCTTGTCCCCAGCCCTGTGGCAAGGAGGAGCTGCACCTTGCTTTGGGGTGCAGAGAGGAGGAGCTGCCCTGCTTTGGGGTCACACTCCTTTCCCCACACCAGCCTTTCCCTTCCCTTTAACAGCCTGTCCCAGGCAGCAGCTCACAAACCCAGCAGGAACAGGCATTATGTAGACTCGAGCTTTTAGTGCTCTAGCGTAGGCGGACCTGCAAAGTGCCCCAAATCTTTGCATTTCTCCACCATTTCAGGACTTTGAAAAAGGAGACAAAGTTTCAGTTTCCAGAGCTCCAGAACTGCAGCCGATCTACATGAACACACGCTGAGTGGCTCCGCACTTGGTCCCTCGCTGCCAGAAAGCCCCGTGTCCGAGAACGGTCATTCCCTGCAGCTCTCCCACCATCCAGGTTGTGTTTCCCCACTGCTGCCCGAGCTCTGTCTGCCTTTCCCATTGAGATTCCCTGTATCCCACAGAAGCAGCCCCTGTCCCCTCTGTACTGCATGAGACTGAGGACCCCAGCGTGCCACGGGGTCCCGCAGTGTGACGTGCACACCACAGGGCAAGCAGCATTGTTTATCCCCACCCTGCCATGAGGTTATTAAATGAGAGGAGATCAGAAGGTTTGGGATGTGTTTAAAATATCCTTCAATCAGGGGTTAAAAGCCCAGCATCTCCGGTCCAGGCTGCGGGGGACCAGGGGATGCTGGCATTCCCTTCTCATCCTCCTCGGTTCTTGTGCTTAGCAATAAGGAGCACATGGGGAGGAAGGGAAGGTCAGTGTATGGTCAGAGACGTGACCTCCATCCCTTCCCGGCCCTGGTGACTCCGAGGTGGCCAGGAAGGAGGTGGTGCTGCGGCAAATGCAGTCACCCCTGTTCCCACACAACCCTCAAAGTTCCGCTTCTTTATTTCCACCTGGCACCTTGTTCCCTTTCCTCCGTGTCTCTGCACAGAGCAAAAGGGCCGAAGGGCAGGGTGGGGTGGAGGGAAGGTCCTGGGGGAGCCTGGCTGCAGGGGGTCCCATTCTGCTCCCCCCAGCCCAGCCTCCTGTGTAGACATCAGGATTTCAGCTGCATACGCTGGGTGGAGGAGCTGCGGAAGGAAAAGCCCCTGTTTGGGTAGGTCTCGTCATCTACCCAAATATAATCACCCTGCTGCGAAATGGAAACATACACAGCAGTTTTAGAAAGAGGAAGGAAAACCACAAGGACAGAAAGAAAAAGAAGTGGGGAGATGCTGCAGAAAGGACCTGCGGACAGCCCTGCAGTGGCAGCCTGGGCAGCGGGCGGCCAAGCTGGAGCTCAAGCTGGGGGAAGCTTGGCTCCATCCCTGCCCTGCCATGGGCCACAGGAGGTCCCTAGGACAACCCACGCCTCGTCATCTGCAAGAAGATCCATTGCCAAATGGGGAGCGGGATCATGGGGAGAGCCACTGGCTGGATCAGCTCCAGTGATGCAGGCATGCTCCCAATTTTCCCCTGAGCCCCAGCATGGTCATACCTGAGATACAAAATTGACCCTCTCCCTCCACTGCTGGTAGCCCCGGGGCTACGAGGGCTACAAAAAATACTGGTGCTGGGGGGCAGCCAGGACTCCTGCTGCAAGGTGGTGGGGGTGGCAGGCAGGGAAGCTCCCCGGCAGCACGGCTGGGTCTCCATCCAGGACAGCCATGTCTTCTGTGTGATCCTGCTCATTGTGGAGAACCTCTCCGAGGAAGATGCTGGGAGTTACTGGTATGGGGTCAAGAGGACGAGCAGGGACCTGATGGAGCCGGTGTCTGAGGGTGGTCCCAGGTAAGCCCTGGTGTCTGTCTGGCTGGAGGTTTTGCTGGCCAGGACCAGACGCTGGCTTGTGGGCCAGCAGGGACCTGGGAGGAGGCAGTGATGCAGGATAGAGCCCCTGGGACCCAGTATAAACCAGTGGCAGAAGTTTGGAGGGGTGACAGGTTGGTTTCTTGAGGGGATGCTCGCAGATGCAGACAGAGCATGCTGGAGCCCAGTGCAGGGTCCAGCCCTGTCCTGTTTTTGGGGGTCCTGGCACCAATCATGGCACAGGCAGGATGGCAGAGCTGCCGGCTACAGGCAGCAGCGAGCAGTAACGCTGAGCCCCAGCACTGAGACCAGGGAGCTCCTGCCAAATGATATAACACTGAGTTTCTACACAAGGAAAAGGGGTGGATCCAACCCCATGGGCCTCAGGGAAACCTCTGGTTCACAGCGGGTGGAGAGACATGTCTTGCCATGGGAGACATGGCCCGGAGAGGCAGGTGGGCAGGCAGGCACAGGCAGGTTGTGTCCCTCAAGGATGCCAGCAGGGCAGGAGCATGTGCTGGGAGGGGGCTCACAGGGACACGCAGGGTCTTCACCCATCAGCCTGGGCATTTGGGGGTTATGCAGTGGGGTCCCAGGCCATTGCCCCCACTTTGCATCTCACCGCACAGCTGGCTGCAGAGGGGCTGCGGGAGGGCACCGGCACGCAGGGCACTGCAAAAGCAAAGCCCCAGCCTTGTGATAGAGAGAAGCAGCCCCACTCCTCTCCCCTCACCTCCAGCCCTGAGCACCCTAGTGCCCACCACGGTCCTGCTCTCCCTCCCGGCTGCTGCCGGCTCCACCAGACTCCACCGCATCCTGTGCAGGAGGAGGGAAGGTAACAGTGCCCACGCGTGCCCCGTCCCAGGCACACCCTGGTGCCCATCCCAGGACCTGGGGGACAAACCCACTCTGGGCATGGGGCTGTGGGGAGCTCCTGCTCCCAGTGACACAGAAAACCTGCCCCTGTGTCTCTTCTTTCTGGCACACTGCCCCCTCACAGCAAAGCCCCCGTTGCCCCCCACGAGCTGGGCATCACCACAAAGCCGGGCCATGGCCCCATCTATGACAACAAGCTGGACCTGGCAGAGGTGAGGGCCCCTGGTGCAGGCAGCGTGGGCAGTGCAGGCAGCGTGGGCAGGGGCCACGCAGCACGGCTGCTTGCTCTGGGCAGCCCCCACACCGCCCAGCTGTGTCCCACGGCTGCGGGGACATGCTGTCCCCTCACCAGGGTGGTCGCAGTGGTACGGAGCAGGACCCTGAGCCAGGGGACACTGGTATCTACACAAACACTGTGTCAGGAGGAGGTGATGGAGACACCGAGCCAACATTTCCTGGGAGAAGAGGTTTTCTACTTGTCCTAGGGGAGCATCCCTTGTGGGCAGAGGATCCCTGCGGTGCTACCCCTGGGGATGTCCTTATGATCACCCCTGGGGACGTCCTTGCTGCAGCAGAAAAGGCAAAGGAGCATTGCAGGAGGCGGCCGCTGCTGTCCCATCACTGTGGCGTCTTGGCAGCGTGACAGCCTCTGCCCATGATACTGGAGCCCAAGGCCAAGCTGGAACCATTCCCTGGCCTGTGGGACCCAGAGACCCCCTTGCCCCTGTGTTGCTTTGGCAGACTGACCCACTCCTCTCTGCTGGCAAGAAACCACATCCCTGATTCCTGCACAAGCTAAGAAGCGGGATGTTTTCCCAGCTCAGCAGCAAATATATTGCTTTGGGTTCAGATAAATCCAATAAAGTAATTCTTCTGCAGGGGCTCAGTCTGGAGGGGAGAGGGGGACAATCTGGTGCACCCACAGAGCTGCTCTGTTGCCACCATCCCCTTTGGGGGTCCCCAGGGCACCCCAGTACTGCTGGGGCTGTGTTAGGAGGGGGCAATGGGAACTGACACTCAAAGCAAGGAAGATGAGAGCGGCTGGGGAGGTGGCTGGAGCCCTGGCTGCTCGCCCTTACCAGGAAGGCTTTTCAACAGAAAGCAGGTTTGCAATCTCCAGCCACTTCCTGAGTTTAGATCTTGCTGTTATTTGCAGCGATTCGTCTCACAGCCCATCAGCCGGTTCACTGAGCCGGGAATGAATGGGGTTACTTGATGATCAGAAGGAAAACTCGGAGCTTCCTCTTGCTGTGGCAGGGGGCACGGGTTGGGCAGGGCATGGGGGGAAAGAGCTGCCTCAGCCTTCGGCAGCATCGGCAGTTGGTATTTTCTGCTCTTTCCAAGAAGGATTGAGGAAGAGAGCGGTCAGCAAAGCAGTTGCCTGGAAAGTGGCTTTGCTTTTTGTGTTTGGGTTTCTGAAACTTCCTGTGGAAACATTTAATTTCAGGAGAAAAAAAATGTTGTCACTCAAAACCCACGGCTGTGCCAGAAAAGGCGTTTTGGGGGGGGAAATGAGATACTTCTGCTTGCAAAGACAAACAAAAGCAGCCCAGCTCACACTGGCAGCCGGCTCAGGAGCCGGGGAGCAGCAGTGCAGTGGGGATGGCTGTCCATCAAGCCAGTCCATTATCCCAGTCCATCACATCCCAGTGGTCCCAACCATCCATCCACAGGGGCTGATCTGCATTCACTCTACCCCAGTCCCCAGACCCCAGATCTGGCCCAGCTCCCCTGCAAAGCCCCCTGAAGCCCTTCGGGCTTTGTGCACAGGGAAGGGGCTGTGTTCCCTGCTGGAACAGGCATCACAGCAGAGGAACCCGCTGCATTTTGGCATCTTGCTGGGAACCAGCAGCGGGTTCAGAGCAAAAGCAGAGCGTCTTTCTCATGAGACACCCCCAGTGTGAGTCACGGTCCCTGGCAAAGGGGAGGAAGCAACCGCCTTTAAAAAAGACATCCAGAGTCTGTGCGTAAACACTGCCCAGGGAAGCAACAACAGAAAGGTTTGGGAAACTCCTGGGATGCCCAGGTGCGTGTGAACCTGGCTCCATCCCACAGAGTGCTTTGTCAATAACCACGGGGAAAATTCCGCATCAGGAGCGAGAAGCTGGAAAATGAGGATTTTCCTGGTTTGGACCCTTTTCCCAGGTGAGACCCAGGAGCACAGGTCAGGCGGTTCCCACCGCACAGGCTCTGGCAGACCTGCGGAGAGGCTGGGACCAAGCCAGCCCAGGAAGCCCACCATGGTCATGGCAAGAGCCCAGCTGATACCGACCTTTTCTTCTGGTTAGCAGACAGCTACAGTGGGTGATCTCCAAGATATGCTTATATTGTTGTCATATGAACCCTGGTAATATGGCTTTTTGCTCATTTAATAACACACACGCTTGACGGAGGCTCTTTTTTTAATGACTGGGGACATCTCATCTCAGCACTGCTCCCTGATGCAGCGGCGGGACCCTCCCTCGGGACAGGCTGCTCCCGAGCATCCCGGGCTCAGATCCCTCCTGGTTCCCAGAGGCAATGCTGGTACGTGATTGCAGAACCTCTCCCTGTCCCCCACAGGCAGCTGGGTGGTGATGGGCCTTGCGCAGATGACGGCTGAGCAGGGTGGCTCGCTGACAGTGTCCTGCAGCTACAAACTGGGCTACAAGCTCTACTCCAAGCACTGGTGCCGGCGGGCCTGCCTCTCATTTTGCTTCACCTACATTGCCCAAACCAACGGCTCGGAGGTGACGGTGACGCAGGGCAGGGTGTCCATCAGGGACAACTACTTGGGATGCTCATTCATGATGACACTGGGCAGTGTCAAGCCGGAGGATGCCGGCTGGTACTTCTGCAGGGTGATGAAGAGCCGGGAGTTCAGCCCGCAGCACATCACCGAAGTGATGGTCTCCACAGGTAAAGCCAGGCTGGGAGCAAAGCAGGGGTGTGCAATGGAGCCTGTCACTTGGGTCAGAGCGCTGGGGACAGGGCCACCCCAGCCAGGGGAACACCAGGGTTGTCAAAGCAGGAACAAGCTCCTTGCAGGCACTGAGACCCGCTGGAGACGGCCCCAGTGCAAATTTGGACAAGGGATGGAGGCTGTACAGAGCTTCGTGCAGAGCAGAGCATCTCCCTCACTCCCGTTCAGCATCTCTGCTTCCACAAGCCTGTCCCTTGGGGGTCCCAGTTCCTCCCAGTAAAACCCCCCTTTTTCTTCCTCCTCCTCCTCAGTTCCCAGTGCATTGCCTGGAGACCCCCACCTCCACATCTGTGGCCAAAGTTTTGGGGGAGAGACCCCCTGCGCAGGGGGCAGGACGGGGTGTCGGGGGGTGTCTACTTTGTTCTGACTGTTTTTCTCTCAGCTGTTTCAACCACAACTGAGGGCAGCGACGTGAGCCCATTGACCACCAGCCGCCTGTACCCCACGGGCTGTGAGGACCCTCCAGTGCTGTGAGTCAGGGCTCAGGGTCTGGGCAGGCCCCCAACAGCATCCCCTGCCCTAAGACACCTTTTCCCCTGCATGCATCCCCCAGCCCTGGGTCCCTCCGGTTGCAGCAGCCCCAAGGAGCATCCCGGGGGCAAGCGGGGCAGCTGGCAGACATGCAAGTGCCCCAGTCCCCATCCTTATTGCTCTAGCATCATCTCCTTTCTCCTACACAGGTCCCAGCTCAGCATCACCTATCTGATGCTATTCCTCAGCGTGAAGGTGTTTGTCGCGCTGGCCCTGGCATGCGGGGCTGCCTGGGTGAGGAGCCGGCGCAGGAGCCGTGACCGAGAAAACCTGCGGCTCTCTGAGGCAGCTGGCAGCACCAGGGCACCGGGCTGCCCACCCGCCCCGACCACCTTGGAACCGCAGGGATGCCCTCCTTCCCCCTTGCCCCTTGCCCTGCCAGGGCTGCGCCACCCGTCACGGCCACCCCACGCCGGGAGGTGCTAGGATTTGGGTGCTTCTCTCCCTGTGAATCTTTGGTCCCACCTGGCAGCCCCTGCACTGGAGAGGGGAGGGTTTGGGGCACAGACAGCCTGCCCTTGCTGAGCTGGAGCTGCCAACTGAAGACAATTTTGCAATAAAGCCTGGGTATCTTGCAAGTGCCTGTCTGTGTGTCCACCTGCTCTCTCCTTGGGCTGCCAGCACTGCCCGGGGTGCTGGTGGCTGCTGACGCTGATGTGTGGGGACATGCTGCAGCATGTCTGGGGAGGACATGGGGTGACGGGGGGCCACACGGGCGCCTGCTCCACCATGGCCCGGCTAAGTCTTGGTGCAGGGAGAGGAGCTCTCAGCCCTGCCAGCCCTGCCCAGTGCAACCAAATACCCATCTCCAGCTAAGTGAGAGCCAGGGAACAGTGTCCTTCCACAACTGTCTCCCCAACTTCAGCAACTTTCCACCCTCAGCCTGAGAGCAAAGCTCACATCACACCCAGCTGCACCATGGGCTCCTTTTTTCATTGTTCCTATTATTCTCCAGGTTCTGCATCTTCAAAAAGCAGACACTTGCACACAGCTGAAACCCTGCAGAAACCCTGCTCCTTACATGTGCTTGTGTCCCATGGGATGGCTGACATCAGCAGCCACATCAGGGAGAGCAGCGTAGCAACCTCCATCCTCCTCGGGGCTACGCCACATCCTGCATTTCATGGCACAACCAGCTTCACCAGCATCCCCCCAGAAAGCTCTGGAGGAGAGTTGTTTCTCTGAAGCTCTGTTTAAGGAACCAAAATGCCCGAGGTGCCAGGAGCAGGCATGAACCAGGAACTCGCAGTCCACTCCAGCCCCACATGGCAAAACGTCCACTGCAGACACAGCAGTTTGGCTGCTGGGGAGGGAGCAAGCTGGAGAGCCCGGCCATGTGCCCTGCACCTCGGTGTCCCTGCCACTCCGCTGCCTGCTACTGCTGGTGAGAGCCCACTGGGAGTACAAGGGCCAGGGCTGTGCTTCCACCTGCTGGGGTCCCAACTCCTTGTTTATTGTTTGGTGGGTTTGAAGGGCCTGGGTGAACACATGGGAGCAGGGAAGCTCCAGGAAGGGGACACTGGGGGACCCGGGTGAGACCTCCTGTCCCTAGAATGCCCTATCCAGGGATGGCTCTTGGCACTGTCAGGTGAAGACAGCCCTGCCCCAGAGCCACCACGTGTGGAGGGGATGGAGGTGGCAGCTCCAAGGCAGAGCCATGGGGAACTGCAGGGCTCCCAGGTTGTTCCCTGCAGGAGAAGGGACCCAGCAGCAACTGCACAGGGACCCCCAGCAGCCCAGAGCCCAGCCCGGGTGATGCTCAGGGCAGGGACCCTTTGTCCACAGAGAGCCACTGGCAGGGGCCAGGGGCCAGGGCCAGGCACAAGTCAGGGACAGGGACAGCTCAGTTGTGTCTCCGCCAAGGAAAACCCTCAGCACTGCTAAACTAGAACTGCTGGCAATAAAGCTGTCTCCTCGCCTTTGCTAAGGGCAGAGCTGCGATGGTATCGGTAGCAGGTCCATGTGCAAGGCTTTGGTCTGAGCTGGGACCAGCCCATGGCTGTAGGAGAAAGACCCTGTGACACCCAGCGTGGGTTTGGTCCCTGTGCATGGGCTGCATTTGTCCTGGCTGTCCCCACATATCCCCAAACCCTTCCTCACCCCTGGGAGCTTCTTCCAAACGGTTTGCCCAACCCAGCACAGGCTCAGCCAGTCGCTGAGGGGTGGGAGACAGGACACTGGAGGGGACTGGTACTTCCACGAGACAAGGGATGGAGACGGAGGGAAGGCTGGAGAGACCTGATCAGGGTGCTGGGCATGAGGCTACTGAGCTGCAGAAGGGCTGTGCTGGGGACAGTCCGGGGGGACGTGCTGGCCAGGCCAGCGGGGATGGCTGCTCACATCCAGCTGCACAGGGACAGGAGGCTGCGGCTCCCCCTCTGCATGTCCCATGGAGGGGGGGACAGGGTGCCCATGCAGGAGCACTGCCCCCAACCTGGGGGCACGTTTGGGGCTCAGGGGGTCCCTGTGCAGGGCTGAGCCACCCCTCGAGAGGCAGAACCCCCGCTGGGTGACCTGCCTGGCCAGAGAAGCTGGGCAGTGTGGCAGCGAGGCAGGGGAGAGGCAGAAGTGCACCCCGCCACGGGGGCCATGCCGGGGCAGAAAGGGGAGCCCATGGGGAAGAGGAAGGAGCGGGGGCAGGAGTGCAGCGGCAGGACTCAGAGAACAGTGCACAGCAGTGCTCTGGATGACAGGGACGGCAGGAAGTCAGCTGAGACCAGACGAAACAAGAAATCTCACGCCCTCGCTAAACCTCCAGCAGCAACGGGTTTGGTACCCCAGGCACAAGAGGAAGAAAAGCCCCAGACACACAACGAAGAAGGAGCGTGAGGGGCAGGAGGGCTGCCCTGACGCGTGGCCCAGGCCAGCCTGCCCATGTGGCTCCTGCTGCTCGCTTGGATGCTGCTGCCAGGTAGGGCTGAGGGGACCCCAGGGGCTCAAGCCCCACACTGAAAAGGCCCTATGGGGCAGGAGGCGTCAGTGTGGTGGCAGCGGCACTCCGACAGCTCTGTCTGTCTCCGCAGGCTGCTGGGCAGTGAGGGGGCCTGGCACCGTGCGGGGATTCCTGGGGGGGTCCTTCTCCGTGAACTGCACGTACAAGCCCGGCGAGGAGTTGAAGCCGAAATTCTGGTGCCGTCCGGGAACCTTTTACACCTGTGATACTGACATCATCATCACCTCGGAGCTGCAGCCCGAGGTGCGGCAGGGCCGATTCTCCATCCGGGACGATCGTGCACAGCGGGTGTTCACAGTGACCGTGGAGGGTCTGAAAAAGTCGGACAGGGGCACCTACCGCTGCGGGGTGCGAAAGAGCGTAATCTTGCCTGATGAGAGTGACGACGTGAAGGTGATCGTGTCCCCAGGTCAGTACTTGTGGGTCCCCCAGGTCCAGTGTTGGTGTGTCTTCCACCAAGTGCTGGGAGCGGGGGCTGCAGTGAGGGGCACCCTGGAAGAGGTGGGTGCCCACGCCGCGTGGGGCTGCCTCAGGGTGTGTCACCAGGGCTGGGCAGGCTGCCACCATGGCAGGTGCTGCCTTCACCCATTCCCCGTGCCCAGGTCTCACCACAGCCCCTTCTCGGTGCCCCAGGGTCAGTCACCCCCATCACTGGGGTGCACCATCCTGCTCTCTGTGCCCCATTTTCCCCTCTCATCAGATCCTGCTGGCCCTGTCTGTGCTCTCCTTGCCTTATTTTTTAATACCAGGGAGTTCCTCACACCCCCATGCTGCCCCATTTCCTGCAGTGGGGCAGCCAGTGCCTGTGGGCACCAGACCCTGATGAACATCCCTCTCCGTCCCCTCGCCAGGGACCAGCTCCCATGGTGGGACACTTGTATGTGGTTGTTGTGTTAGTACCAGTCTAGGCATGGGGTGCCCACATGCCCTTCCTGCAGGGTGAACTCTGCTGCATGCATGCACATTTTGGGGGGGACCGGGACCACGAAAAGGCCCCTGGGCAGGGGCAGGGGATTACAGCCCTCCCACCTTGAGGAGTGTGCTCTGGATGTGGCAGAGGGGACCCAGCTTCTCCTGGTGTGACGGTAAGTGGGTCACTTCTGAGTCTCTGCAAAACCCGCAGCATTTTCCCCCGTGGAGGCAGGGAGGCTGACTGAGCCTCTCCTCTTTTTGTAACAGCTTCCTCTTCCTCCTCCCCAGCCCCGACCACCAAGGACCCTGATCTCACTAGCTTTGTATCAGTCCCCACGGAGACAGCTCCCTGGGGGGAGTCTGCACAACCAGGATCAAGTCACTCCCACCCCGAACACTTCGGCCCTCCACAGTGAGTACCAGCTCCTGCCCGCAGCGGTCACCTCCCTCCACGAGGTCTCTCTGGTGTACCTGGAGCCCTGCAACCCTCCAGGCTCTTCACACCTCCCTTAAGGATTCAGACCTCCTGCTTTTGCCTTTAGAGACCAGCATTTCAACCTCTCAGCCAGCCACTCCATGTGGAAAATAATCACAGCGTGCCTGGTCGCTTGGCCCCAGCAAAGCTCTGCTTGTTCCCTGTCCGTCTTGCAGCTTAAGCAAGGCGCAGGTTATCACCATGTGAGAAGTGGTTTCTGGCTGCAACGCTGACCCTGTTTCCTTCCCCAAAACTCAGAGGCACTGTTTGCTTGTGGGAAACCCAGGTCCTGGGCTGGGTCCTGTTCTGCTTTGTAGTCACATGCAGCCTGGCAGAGACAGCTGAGAAGGCATGAGAACGAAGTGGCAGAGCTTCCTCCCTCCTCTTCTGCCTCTTAGAGGTGATGCAAGAAGTGAGCAAAGCTGAGGCTTCCCATCAGCACACTCAAGGGGTAGCTGGCACACCAACCTCGCCTGGTTGCCCGTTACAACAAGGTCAAACGAGCACAAAAAACAGGTGCAGAAACCGATCCTTAAAACAGCGAAGACGCAGCAGTTCTCAGACCCGTTTGCTTCTGCAGTTTTCCGTTTGCTTTGCTCCGTGCCCAGCTTGCAGCCTGACCACCCCCACGCCTGCTTCCCTGCCTCCCGAGGCAAGCACCGTCACCCACAGCCACTGCCTGCCTGCCTGCTCCATGCTGGTTCCTCCCGAGTCTGCTTCTGAGAAGTGTGAGAAGAGAAACTCTTTTTTTCTTGCAGCTTGCAAGTGGTTGAGCACATCCTCACTCCAGGCATCATAATGGTTCTTCTTTTGCTTGCAATTGCTGCTGGCATTTTGGTAAAAATGTCCAGGAAGAGGAAGCAGGGTAAGCGAAGCTGTCACTGCCACACACACGCTGTTTCTGCATCAGAGCCTGTCTTCTGCTATATTTGTTTTTTCCTCTATATTTCATTTTTTCTCCCCCATTCCATACCTGCTCCATCCAGTTCCTGGGTCCACTACTGAGACCTCCAACAAGGAGGTCTCCTTCCCCCGAGGGAGCAGTGGGATCATCCCACAGGTCTCATCCCCATGGGAGCAGGGAATGGCAGCTCTCGGGGTGAGTGCTGCCTGGCACGGTACCCGCTTGAGTTTGTCTGGGCACCGTCAGCTTCTCCAGACATACTTGGTTGCGTAGGCCAGGCTTGCCCTAGGCTTGATGCAAAGTTTAAGGCCGGTGTGAAGGATGGCGAGGGACAGGAGGGGATGTCACCAGCTGGCACGCGGGGTCTGGTTTTATTTGAAGAACTGCTCCAGTTTAGATGGTTGATGGGGCAACAGGTTCCCTTCCTGCTTTACAGTGAGATTTGCAGTGGCAGCGCAGTTTTTTAGTACATTTCTTTTCCTCTGGTTTCACTCATGTCTAACCACATCCATGCTTCATCCAGCCCTCTCCGGAGCAGCTGTAGAGATGGACAGGACTCGCAGCACATCGCGAACAGTAAGATAAACCGCACGAGGTCTTGGGATGGCGTGCTCCGAGCTCGCCTGGAGAGGGGAAATGTTACACCCTGAGCTGAGCAAGCGAGCTGCCAGAGCCATTTGCTTTCAGTGAGGTCCATGGCCCTTTAGGCTGGGAGGGATCCTTCAGGCTCCATTTGCCAACAGAAAGACCCAACCAGGGATTTTGTGTGACTGTCGCTGAGTATTCCTGGGAAGGGAATTTAGGATTAAGCTGAGAGGTTTCTCCCCAAGCCCCTCCAAGAATGGGAGCTGCTTCTCTGGGTGGAACAGCCTTGGGAACCTGCAGTAAAGCACACGTGAGGAGGCTGCGGGGCAGCTGATCTTCGGTCACTGCTTGGGACATATTTTCTAACGTTTTCTGCCAGCTTTCAAGGAGGGGCTGGTGTCACTAACCAGGTTTCCCCTGGGGAATGTTGAGCCAGCCCTTGCTGCAAATTTGCCCCCAACGCTCCCGCAGCCATCTCAGCTCTCACGAGGACAGGCAGTGGGACGGGAGATGTTCCCATCCCTGGGGGCTGCAGGCAGGGGAGCAGCAGTAGGTTAAGAGTTCATCCTTTTCCTTCGCATGTCAGGGAGCGGATGCCTTGAACTATGCGGACATTAACCACCACGCAGGCACAGCCGAGAGCCAGCTGTACAGCAATGCCGAGGCTTTGCGCTGCTTGGCATACACCACGACCGAGTACACGGAGATCACGCAGAGCAATAAGGTAGGAGAATGCAAAGCAGTGCCGAGCTCGAGGCGGTGGGTGGAAAGCTGGGGCGGGTGGGCAGCGGGATGGGCTGGGTGGGTAGGGAGGGAGCTGCAGTGGGACATGCCAAGCTGGGGTGCAAATGACCCTGGGTAACGTGGGTGCCCTCTCCGGTCCCCATGGCTGCTCCTGGGTGCTTAAAGCAGCCGAGAAAGGTTATGGCAGATGGTGTTGCCCTGGAGCAACCCCATGAAGGGTGTTTTTTGTTTATCCCCCTCCTTTCCCAGCATTTGGAAGAGGAAAAAGAGGCTACGTATGCCAACATGCCGTCAGCTCCACAGCCCAGAGAAGAGCTCTACAGTACAGTGAAGAGGGTGTGAGCCGGCCCCTGGCCCCGTGGGCTGCTCGCACTGCCGGCAGTGCCAGGGGGACACGGGCTGGCTTTTGGCTCGGGCAGGAGCTGGCTTGACAGCGGAGCTGCTGCTCTTGTAGGCTAAGACATTTCCTTGGAGCAACCTCGAAGAGGATGAGGTTGAGCAGGAGGCATGGAGTGGGATGAAATCATCCCTCTGCATTTGGAGACCTCACCCATACAGCAATGGTGCTGGGAATAAAAAACTGCCTCTTGCATTGGGGTAGCGCAGGCCAGAGACCAGCCAGGCAGGGTGTGGAAGAGCCCGGCAGTGGTAGGCAAGGGTGGGCTGGGGGTTGTGGGTGGGCTGCCTGGCTCCCTGCACCCAGCACCCACCCCGCTTGCCCCTCTGGCTGTGTTATTCACGTGGGCTGATGCTCCCAAAACTGCTAGTCCCCTCAGACTTTTTTCATGTCGATGCCAGGCAGAGCTGGCAGCTCTTGGGAAGCAGAACAGCAAGAAATGTTATATCCAAATGCATTTGTTATATCCAAATACTGGGGGGCTCGGGTGGAGGGTGTAGTGGATTAGGGTCTTGGTGCAAAGGATATGGCAGAGGTACTCCTGTCCCTCCTGCCCGGCAGCTGGGAAGCGTCTCCCCTGACCCCCCTGGTCCCACAGCCCCCAGGGAGATTTGCTCCTGCTCTCTCTCCCCCGTCATCCCCAAGGACCCCCAGGCTGGGAGCACACGATGGGCTGTAACCGTGACCCTGCTCTTCTCTGCTTATAATTTATTTTCTGCCACCCACTAAATACGTTCTTGTTCTTTCGTGTAAAGTATTGCTCCTTTATCAGTGACAGGAACTGAGAATTTGATAGCATCTAGCACAGTATTTAGCTGTATTCGTACGGCAGCTTTGCACCACGCTAAAGGGATTATTGCAGAGTGTTGCCCCAAAAGCAGGTCCGACCCCTTACTGGTGCCCAGGTGGACTCCAGCAGCGTGGCAACCCAGATCTTTAAGGGCAAGGACTCTGCTGCTCCAGCACAAACCAGCAACCCCATTGCCAGCAGCTGAGGCACGGCTCCCCACCAGGACATTTCATGGGGCTGCGCTTGGGGCACGCTCTTGCCCCCTGCGCTTTGTTTCAGTATTTCTGTAATTGTTTTATTCGAGAAGCCACGTGGAGCATCCCTGCTCTGTCAAAACCAAAGGCGGCTGCAAGTAGATGTCAGTGCTATGACAGTTGTGGTTATTCCTATAGGTTATTCCTATATAAGCTTATCTTCCTATGGAAGCAAAATTCCTCTTGTGTTCGGTCAGGAGGTCCTTCCCACCCTGCTGAGGCCGGGCTTCAGAGAAGGGAGCACACAGGGAACAAACGGCGATGGCACAGACAAGCATCACTGCAATTTGTAATGAAAAGGAGCATCCAGCCAGATTCCAGCCATTGCTGGGAGAAAAGGGAAAGCAAACCCCTCTGCACCCACGGGAACAAACTTCTGCCACAAATTTCATGTGGAACTGGGGAAAAAAAAAGAAAATCACATATTGCTCTTCCTGCTCCCCCATTTATTACTGGAGATAATAACACCCCTTCTCTGAAGGAGTCAGGAGGAGGAATCAGTTGGATTTTTTTTTTAGGTAACCAGGTCCCATTATGCCATATCTGGAGGTAGTTTTCATGCTTTAAAAAAAAGAACTAAATGGCTTACTTAAATTAAAGCCCTCGCTGCTGCGCTAAGGCAGAAATAGCCGCCAGCTTCATGATGGGGGTGCACAGGGGGGTGAAGGGTGCGGCATCCTCGGGGTGTGCAAAGGTGGGGTGTTCAGCAGCACCTTCTGCAAGAGCCATTTTGAGCACCAAAGTTTTAACAGCTGAAGAGTTTCAAGCTTTTTCAGGTAACTTGAAGAGCATGAGAAATTTGCCTTTTCTCCAGCGTTAGTGGTGTTTCAGGGCAGCTGCCTGGAAAAGAGAAATAACGCCTGGCAGGTAAAACCTCTGCATTTTTGGCATTGGAAGGGCTGACTCCTGCTGGAAAGAGGGCTGGGAGCAGAAAACCTGAGCTCTTCCACACACACAGTCCCATGCAAGTGGTTTTGCCCAGGTAGGCAAGTTTTCCCTTGCCATGGGAATTTGGGCGCTGTAGCTCCACACAGCCAGGCTGGTTCCAGGGGCAGGGATGCTGATTTACACCGTGCAACCAACTCTGCCCCAACATCATGATTTCTGAGCTCTGGCTGTGGGAATCTGCTGAAAGTGGAGATGTCCCATCCTGGTGCACAAGCTTTCCTGTAACTCACCCCTTCCCGAAAGGGAACAGTGATTTTTCTGGAAGCACCTAGAGCTGCTTCTCCACCACCTCCTCCAGGCAGATCCCAGCTCTGGGCTGCTAGTTTTGGGGACCTGCAAGGCAGAGCCTGAGCGAGGAGGGACAGCAGGAGGGGATGGATACAGGAAGGTCTTCAACAGGACAGGGGTATTTTGGAAATTCGTTTTTAGAGCTAGGCTCAGTTTCTAGAGCCATTGTGTGCACCCAGCGGTGAACCTCATGGGTGAGGGAGTTGGATACGGCCAGGCAGGGATGCTCCCTGACGTCCACATAGTCCTGCTCCCTTCTCCACCCTCCCTCCGTCGCACCCGTATTTTATAACTCATTCAAGTGTAACAGGGGATGACTTCTGGAATAATTGTCACTGGAATACATATATATTCTGTAACAAAATTTGTTAATACTCAGGGGTGCTCAGCAGGAGAGAAAAGTCTTCTCCCGGCCAGGGAGGGAAGGCAGAGGGTCAGAAGCAGCAATCGAGCCTTGCTGGAGAGAAGAGTGGTTCCTGGGCAAACGGGGAGCTCGTGTGAAGCTGGGGAGAAAGACAAACCCCGGCAGGACAGAGCTAGGAAATCCCCCGCTGCCTGGCTCATTAATGAATTACTGTAGCCTGCAACCCCCAATTAATACAGAAGAAGAGATGAGCAGATAGGATGATCCAAGCAGAGAAGGAGCTTTTCTTCTGCTCTTGCCACAGCAAGATTTTAAGGAAGGGGAGATCATGAACGTAGCCAAGC